GGTCTACTATCATAGATAGAGGCTCAAGTGTGACATAAGTCCACACACATTCGACATACACATGCACAAAGCAAACTCTCACGACACACGGCAACCGGGTGGAGCGGCGGCGGCGGCGGCAGCAGCACGCGCGGGCGGACGGATTCGGACGGGGCGGAGCAGCAGCCGCCCAGGCGGCCGCTGCTCTGTCTGCCAGAGCGCGCCGTCTGCCTGCGCAGCTCGAGCGCGGTCAGGTGCAGGGAAGCGTGGCGGCGCGGAGGTTGCTGCCGTGGGGGGGGACCAGCTTGCGGCCGTACAAAAAAAGTCAATCTTTCCCCTGCCTGTGGCAGCAGGAGTCACACAGTCCACCTGTGTGATGCACGCCCTGTGAGCGGGGCGGGGTGCGCACTGTGCCTCTGTGTTCGTGCGTCGCCCATCTCTCCTGGAGATGACTGCTCTATTTATTTATTTAGCAGACAACCCGACGGGCGGCACCCCCCATCCCGTGTTCCCGTGTTTGTTCCCATAAGAAACGTGCATTTGAAGCCACTGGCCCATTCGGACGTTATCTTGTTGGGCCCGCGTTCCGCGTTGACGGGGAGTTTTTCATCTGCAGGCATAAAAAAAAGTCGACACCGTGGCGTGATACGAGCTCTCGATGCCTGCTCAACCATCTCCCCGTCGTCGTCGCCAGCGCGAGACTCGTGCGCTAGAGATCGACATGGCGCTGCCTGGCTCGCCAGCTCCGCGCCGGGCTGCCTCGCCGGCAAAAAGGGTGGTGGGCTCCGCGCCTGCACAGCCACGCGCAAAGCGCGCCGCCTCGCCGGGCTGCCCTTCCTAACCTGCATCTGCGTCGTCTACTTTGCGCAGGGCTTTCGCGCCCTCTCCGGCCTCGCGACCCAGTTCTTCCTCAAGGACTCGCTCGGCCTCGAGCCGGCCGCGATCCAGAGCCTGCTCGCCACTGCAGCGCTGCCGTGGTCGGTCAAGCCCCTCTACGGCCTCGTGAGCGACGCCGTGCCGATCCGCGGGCAGCACCGCAAGCCGTATCTCGTCCTCGCCGCCGCCGTCGGCCTCGCCGCGTGGAGCGGGCTCGCCGGCTTGACCTGAGCAACAACGCTCTCTCGGGCACGCTGCCCCCGGATGTTGGCGCTCTTTCGCAGCTGGAATTCTTTACCCCATACCCCGCAAAAAGTCCGAACCCAGGGCGCTCTTGGGTGTGGGCGATGTCGGCCAGCAGCAGCACCGTAGTGCCCTTCGCTCGTCCGGCCAGCGCCGTGGTCCCACCTCCAAGCGAAGGCGACCCGTTGGCGAGTTGGTGGTTCTCCGAGAGCCCTCAGCTGCAGCACGGGCAGGGACACCGCGGTGGCCGCGATGGCGGCCGCAAGGGCGGCGGCGGCCGCGGCGGCGGCCGCAGCGGTGGCCGCCACGGAGGCGGACACGCTCGCGGCGGCCGTGGCGGCAAGGGCGATGCCCGTGGCGCAGCTGGCGGCGGCGGCGGCGGTGTCGGAGGCGGCCGTGCCGGGAAGGGCGTTGACGCCGCTGGCGCGCCGCAGCTCTGCCACTTCTTTGAGAAGGGGCGCTGCAAGAGCGGCTCGGCTTGCCAG